TGTCTTGTTATGTATAAGAATTCACTCTCCCTAGGAGACAGTTGTAGTATTAAACGACAAAACCTTTTATTCCACTATCCACAGAAAGAGGGGATAATTGTGCAGCCTCTCGCTAATGTGTCCACTTAAAGGCTAGGCACGGGGTGAGCACTGAGCGCATGAGCCACTCAGGCTGAGATGGAAAAATCAGGAGCTCAAAGCCGTCAGCAACACATGACAGATACCTTGTCTAAAACAGACATGGCATGTGTCCTGTGCCTGTGGTCCCAGCTAGGATGCTCAGACAGGAGGATGGCACGGCAAGACCATGTGTAGTAAAGGTACCTTCGGAGGAACCTGCGTGCATATGCTGAGCTCACGCATATGCATGTATATACTGGCGAGCTGTAATCTCCTATGCAAAAGATGGGCTGAACTTTTCTGCAATTTTCCAAGTAGAGCACTTGAAACATTAAGTTGTCACAAATGAGGAAGGTCCTTAAAGAGAAAGAGGCTGTTGGGGCTGGCAGGTGGCGTGGTAGTTAGGGGCACTGGACTCCCACATGGCCAACCATGGTTCGAGTCCTGGACCTGGTGGCTTGCTTTCTCACTTTCCTCTCACTCTCTCTTTCTCTTTCTGGTCAAATTAAATAAGTAAATAAAGTTAAATAAAATTTTTATAAAAAAAGAGAGAGAAAAAGAGGCTGTTACCACTGAGTAAGCCAAGTCAGCTCTCCTCTGTACTGAGGTAACTGAACTTCTTTATGAAAGCCACTTCACTCTCTCCCACAGTACCCTCAGTGTGTCTGCAGATGTGCTTCCTGCAGTAGAGTGCAACTTGCTGACATGGGACAGTTCGAGGACTATTTGGCTCCCAAAATTAAAGATAAAGAAAGATCTTAGGCATTCTTAAAATTCAAGAAAATAAAACAGCTCTTTGAGAAAGCCCTTCTGAGATGCCAGCTATACTGATGTCTTTTCTACCAGATTTGTACCACATCAATAAATACTGTTTTCTGTAAATAACCTATTTTTCCCTCCATTCTCTACAATTTGTTTTAAAAATAAAGTCCAAAGCCCAACCTGGTCTTGTTAACCTGGAAATACTTCTATCTTACTTAGAAATAGTCCTTATGGGGACTAGCAGTTGGCGTAATGGCTATGTCGCTGGACTCCCACGTAGTCGACTGCGGTTTGAGTCCTGGATCCAGTGGCTTAAACTCACACCGGGTGTGTGTGTGTGCGTGCCCAGGATCCCGAGAGGAGAATGGAGGAGAAGGGATTGCAGCGTGGCCATCTCCCCTGGGGGGTGATTTCTCACTTTCTGTCTCTCTCTCTCTGTCTGGCAAGCGCACACGCCCTATAGCAAAAACCTCTCCAAAAAAAGAAAAAAAAAGAAAGAAAGAAATAGTCCTTATGACTTTTATAACAAAGATGTTGCAAAAGAGTCTTGACTATAAACGAAGTTTTAAGAATTATTTTCAATTTAAATGAAGTTAAGCTAAAGTTCAAATGTGAAAAGAAAAAAAGAAACTTCTACAGCACTTTGGCAGAGTAATTTTGTCTTTTGAATCTAATAATGAAAAACTGGAACTCACATTTTGTCTGTTTTTATTTCCCATTTCATTTTTCTGGCAATTGATTTTTATTATATTAAACACAAAGTTTCAATCAATAGTGGTATGGAAATTAAGGCACTGGACTCCCACATATGTGGCCAAGCATGGTTCAAGTCCTGGACCTGGCAGTTTGATTTCTCACTTTCCTCCTCTTTCTCTCTCTCTCTCTCTCTCTCTCTCTCTCTCTCTCGTAAAAATTTTTAAATAAAAATAATAAATAAAATAAAATAATCTTTAAAAAAAAAAAAAGTCATCTTCTACTTGAGAAACACTGTGCTAAACTGAGGACTTGCTGCAAGTTGAACAGAAGATGCACAAACCAGCATGATTTGACCCATGGGTGAGGATGAACTGGTGCTTGGTGTGCAGGATGGCACTAGGAGCTCCAGTAAGAGATCACAAGTGGAGAGGACCAGCAGGTGGCATGGTGGTTAAGGTGCTGGGCACTCCCACATGACTAACCATGGTTCGAGTCCCAGACCTGGTGGCTTGCTTTCTCATTTTCTCTTTCTTTCTCTCTCTGTGTGTCTCGCTCTGGTCAAAATAAAATAAAATAAATGAATTAATAAATAAAATTAAATAAATAATTCTAAAAAGAGAGAGAGAGAGATCACGAGTGCATATGGTAAGGCCAATGGACTGACTGTAGGGCCAGGGAGCAATGGCATTTCTCTCTAGGCAGTTTGACCAAAGGAGGAGTTGAATCTGAGAAGTGAAAGTCAAATTGCCCATGACTACCAGCAGAACAGGGTGCCACCTATCTCTATCTGGAAATTTCCAAGCCACTACTCAGCATATTTGAGTGTTCAACCACCATTTCCATGAGCACCCTGATGGCCTCTAACACATACATTTTTGTAGTGTGCCCTTTTGGTATTTCTGAATGGATAGCTAGAGTGCCAGATATAGATCAAGGACAACACATATACAAGAAGAGAAGACTTAAGGAACGTAACGTCTGCTGGCCATCATCAAAAAGTGAATCATACATGCTAGTTTACCTGGTGATAGATGGATTGAAACCACCCTAATTTACATCTGTAACAAACATGGGTTATCTCTAATTATTTTTAAGCAAATTAATAAACAGTTAAGTCTTTTAAAACTCTCCAATAACATGCTGTTCCTAATGAATATCTACAAATCTTGCACAATGTTACTGTTTTTCAGAGAGTTCAGGTGCCCCCTGGTACTAAGCATTACTCCCTGAGTATGATCTGTTTTCACCAGCAACTGTCTTCAGCAATACAGAAGATATTGTTCCCATCTGCGTCTCTTAATGCAAGAACCCAGTCTTTGTGAATTTCTGGCAGTCTCACAAACAATTAAGCCCCACATCAGCCATGGATCTTCAAAAATGCATGGTGACTATATGTAGATCTAAGATTAGAAGTGTTTAACAAGAAAGGTGTTTTGGGAACCAGCAGTTAGCATAATGGCTATGTCGCTGGACTCCCATGTAGTCAACCGCAGTTCGCATCCCGGACCCGATGGCTTAAAACTCACTCCGGGCACGTGTGTGTGCGTGCCCAAGATCCCGAGAGGAGAATGGAGGAGAAGGGATTGCAGCATGACCATCTCCCCAGGGGTGATTTCTCACTTTCTGTCTCTATGTCTCTCTCTGTCTGTCTGGCGAGCGCATGCTCCCTATAGCAAAAACCTCTCAAAAAAAAGAAAAAAAGATGTTTTGTTTTGTTTTTTAGAGAGATTTTTGCTATAGGGCATGTGCACTTGCCAGAGAGACAGAAAGAGACAGAGACAGAAAGCAGGAAATCACCCCGGGGGGGGCGGGGGGATGGCCATGCCGCAATCCCTTTGCCTCCGTTCTCCTCTCAGGATTTTGGACACATACGCACACATGCACAGCATGGGTTTTAAGCTGTTGGGTCTGGGACTGGAACCACAGTTGACTCTGTGGCAGTCCAGTGACATAACCATCACACCATCTGCCGGTCCCAACAAGAAAGGGTTTTTAACAAAAAGATGTTTTAATGACGTTGACACTTACACTACAGAGGCCAAATGTGACCTATCATTATTTAAAGATGGCTTACTGTGCAGATGTTGCTCAGTCATTCAACATTCAAGAAACAGACGGTCTGTATAAGAGCAGGAGGGCCAGGCACCATGCACCTAATTCAAACAGAACAGACCTGGTCCTTACCTTCATAGAGCTTACAGTCTCATATGGGGCACATAAACACGGCGATGAATAGATAATCACAGAACAGGTTATCAGCTGCTCCAAGCCAGAATAGAAAGGCAAACTTATGTTAAATGAAAAGTAAGTTTTAGTTACCAAGGGAGGGTGTAAGTACTAATAGAGCAATGCATGTGTATATCAGGCTAAAAAGCCAGATTTGTATTTATCTCGAGCTTAAAAAAGGGGTCTCTAATTTTTATGTTCTCTAATTTTTAAGTTTTTATTAGTTGGTTTGGCAACAGTGCTTTGCTTCTAAATTAGCAGGATGTGAAAGTGTGACATAATTACTCATTTTGTATTTTATTAATTTTCTTTTTTTTTTTTAAAGAGAGATTTTTGCATGTGCGCTCACTGGAAAGACAGACAGAAAGTGAGAAATCACCCCCCCCCATCCCAGGGGAGATGGCCATGTAGTACTCTCTTCTCCTCCATTCTCCTCTCAGAATTTTGGGCATGCATGCACGTGCACCCAGTGAGTTTCAAGACTCTGGGTCCAGGAATCAAACCGCAGTCAACTACGTGGGAGTCCAGCAATGTAACCCTGATGCTATCTGCTAGTCTCATGTATTTTATTGATTTTCAATAAAACATTTGTGCTGTTTAACAACTCGGTAACTCATTCTGTGGTCTCTTCAAATCTCAGACCTTCATTTTCTCCTGAGGAAAAACCCATTATATTATCTGTGCCTCAGGGCAGCCCAGGTCCATCCTGCGAACATTTCCCTGCAGCTCGCATTGTAAACAACAAAGAATTCCGGTAACTCCATTTAAATCCTCCACACTATATTCACTCTAGAGAAATCGCCAGATGAAACAGAGGTACAATGAGCACACCACATTTGAAAGTGATTAAACGTATATGGAACGAAAAATATAGGAGGTTTGTGACACAAGGGGGCCTGCCCCAGAGTGAAAAATCCTAGGAGAGCTACCTTGAAGAAGTGATTTAAAGTCAAATCTGAATAATAATGAAAAGCTACATTTGCCTGATATCCCAATACCAAAATAATTATATTGGGTGGTCAGAAAAGTCATGACATGCTTTTCTACGCAAAAAAAAAAAAAGTCATGACTTTTCTGACAACCCAATGTATTAGTATAAATTGTTACCTTACAGATGGTCATCCAAAAATGGAAAAAAAAAAATGTGTTTCAGGGCCAGCAGGTGGTGTAGTGGTTAAAGTGCTGGATTCCTACATAGCTGAGCACAGTTCACAGTCTCAGACCCAAGGGCTTGAAAATCATGCCAAGCACAAGTGTGTGTGTGCTCAAAATTCCAGAAGGAGAATAAAGGAGAAGGAATTGCGGTGTGGCCATCCCCCTGGGGAATGATTTCTTACTTTCTTTCCCTCTTACTGCCTCTCTCTGTCTCTCTAGCAAGCGCATGAGCCCTAAGGCAAAATAATAATAATAATGAACCCTCAGGATGGGAGAGAATTTTTGTTAACTGTGCCTCAGATAAGGGACTGATAACCAGAATACTCAGGGAACTCAAGCAGCTTACCTGGAAGAAAATGATTAACCCAATTAAAAGATGGGAAAATGAGCTGAATAAACAACTCTCTAAAGAAGACATATGAACAGCCAAAAAGCATATGAAAAAATGCTCAACATCCCTCCTTGTGAGACACAGATCAAAACCACAATGACATACCACCTAACCCCAGTTAGAATGAGGAAGATAGGAGATATAAAAGAAAAC